AGGTAGGTTCTCAAGGATACTTGCTCTAATTTCAAACAAAAATACTTTTCACACCAACACATTTTCAAAAGCTTTCAAAGCAATTTTTTCAAACACTCTGACGTACGAGTCGAACTGAAATTTTTCAAAGAAACTTTTTAAAAACCCACAATTGAAAAGCAAACAAACCTTTTTGAAAACACAAATGAGCAAGTATCTAAGAGCCCGTGGATAACCATGGATAGAAAGGGTGCTAACACCTTCCCTTTCTATAACCTACCTCCCGAACCGAGAGCAATCTCTATAAGGAATTTTTCTGTGCTTTTGTCCTTTCCATTTGGAGAAAATAAAAGACGGTGGCGACTCTTGCTTCCGCGACATTTCGCGAACCAGCTTTAAACAGTCAGTTCCAGATCCACCGATCACAATACTCAAACATCTTTTCTTATTGTTATTGCTATTTAAATTCGTAGTCAAGTGTATAGGACACACTCTCTAATGTAATAGCGTAGAGTTATTTTTCGCATCTCTTTTCCTATTATGTAACTGCTCAAGGATGTAATAGCGTAGGACATTTACATTCCGCACATTATATTTTTAACTGTTAGCAATTAGGGTTTGCATGGAAAGACTAACAATTGGACATAGAAAACCTAATTCTCAAGACTAAATAACTGAATTAACACACTCTTCACACTTTAACCTTTAGGGTAATCTCTCTTGTTGCGTTATAAATATTGGTCATGTCCCTCGAAAGTAGGGATACTTTAAAAAAAGACCCTCGATACAATCATCATAGTCCCTACGATACAAAAGATCATAGTCCCTCGAGTTGCCTACGAAAAGATCATCTAGTCCCTCGATGACCCTACGAACAAAATGATGATTGTCCCTTCTATACAACTGCTAAAGTATCCCTACATGTTGTCTTCTAAGACCATACGATAAACCTACGCATGTCCCTTCACATCCAATAGATAAGATTACCTACCAACTAATGGTATGGATAATACTATCTCTAAAGGAAAAGGAAAAGAGTAGGAAAGACAAAAACCTGGTGGGTAGGACTCTTGAATGCTTTCTCACAAACAAAATATTTTCTCACATCACACTTTTAAAATAATAAATATTTTCAAAAACATTTTGTATACATTTTTTAGGACTGATACAAGAATTATTACAAAGTCTGCCTTACATTGGCATTTCAAATATTTTCAAACAATTCACACACAAAAAAGTAAGTGAGCTAAGCAATTAAGAGCCCGTAGATAACTATGGATGTAAATGGTACTAACGTCTTTCCTTTACATAATTGACCCTCCGAACACAAAATCATCCAAAGGTCTTTCCTGTTCTTTTCACCTTTCCTAAATATTGGATAAAAGAAAAGTCGGTGGTGACTCTTGCTAACTGCACATTTGCGATAGCACTAAAAAAGTCAGTTCTCCCACCATATTACAATATCGCTTAGGTACCAAAGATAGTGGTGTTTATTGCAAGGATTAGTCGGAGGAACTAGCTTTTTGTTATCTGTATTTAGGTAGTGAGTCATGCTTTGGTTATGTAACACGGGAAAACATTTGAACTCATATTGTTTTAAGAGATGTTTGATATACTCGCTTTTATTTTATATTGTATTTGAGATTATGTGATGAGTGATCTTTAGTGCCTAATGTTTTAATACATTTCTATTATGAGATTTAATTATTGTATCATTTTGAAAAGAGAATTATTCCGCTGTGATATGCATATGTGTTAGTATATGGAACATGATTTTAAATACGTGTTATGAGCATGACCAGTGTATTTGTGTTGGTTTTGAAATACATTTGACACCCTCTTATGATATGCATGATAATTTTACTCTAATTATACTATATTATTATACGGGGATTTAGAGTATGTTACATGTGTATCTGTTTATAGCCATTTACTTCTATGAAAAGGTCCTTTTATTTTTACATATGGTAAAATTCTAATTTTGTTCATGAGCATATTATAAAAAAAAAATATTTTGTCAATTACATAATTATCTTATAACAAATTGTAAAATTCTCTCAGGTCACTCTAACACTTATTTAGTTCAAGTGTGAATTGCAAATTGTATTGTGCAACACACATGTCTATTTTGATGATGATCAATGTTCATGCAATGCACTACAATGACTCAAAAGAAAAAGTGTAGTAATTTACAATGAAGTTAACTATTTATTTAATGGGTTGATTATAAAAATTAGTTACATTTACTAACCATGTGGGCTTGGAAGTAACCACTGATGCTGGAAGTCATTTCACTGTTGTGAGGGGAATAAGGTATTTTGCTAAAGAAATAATCAATGTCATTTCCGTCTTAGTTTTTAGATTATTCAATCTAACTTTTGAATGATAAAGGATAAATTATGTTCTATACTAAAGTAACTTCTTTTATTGTACAATGAAATACATGCTTTATATGCTTTGTCGTTAATGTATATTAGATATATATGTTTTCATTGACATTATCGTTAATGGTTTATAGAAATAAGAAGAAATAGAATTATGATCTTATCAATTTTGAAATACTTGGTGACCATTCTGAATGGGTGTTGGAGGATTAACCATCACTCTTAACTATTGAGGAGGTGGAAGTACTATACAAAAATCTTACAAGTATGACAATCTAACCTATTTCAAATGATGTTGTATGTTATTAGTTAGTGTGAATTCGTGATTACAATTTTGTTATTTTAATTTATTACTATATGTCAATTACTAAACTCTCTAAATTAATGTTGTAATAGATGAATTAAATTTGGATGAGGTTGTCGTTGAAGATGATGCACAACTCAACTCTGGAGAAAACATGGACTAAAATAATGATATCGTTGATGGGGAAGATGTTGCGATTGATTTTGATGCAAATGGTTTTGATGAAGAAAGAGAGTCCAACATTGAAACAATTTTCTTTCCTTGGAACTAAATTTATTAGACATTATAGTTATTTTGTTATAAAGTGTGCAATTATATTATGTTGCAATTATACTTTGTTCAAATTTTATTTTGATTTGTATTTTGTAATATTTTATTGTGTGTGATAACTATATTTAAAATTTGAATTAAAATTATGAACTTGTGAAATTATTATATTTTCAAATTTTTAGGTGCTAGTGATTTTTTTAGAGACCGGGTCATCCAGTTCAATCAGTTTAATACCTATATAGCTTAGCTATAGTGACAGGTTTATCCAACCGAGTTTTCCAATTTTATCTGGTTTAGTCATGCGGTTCAACTAGTGATCCAATGGTTCGACCAATGAACCAGTGACCCAATATCCTCACCCGTTCAATGACCGATCCAATTTTTAAACATTGCAACACAAATTTCCTCATGATCAAGAGAAGAGATAGACTTAGCCAAGAAGTAGTCAGTCTTGAAATACTTCCAGCTATTGATGTAGACCTTGAAGACATGGTTCTTGACACGACAAAGAGAGATGAGCCCATGACCAACGACGTCCTTCGAGGCGGGACATGCTTCAAAAATATGGAAGAATAGGTCTTGAGAAGCTGGGCCCAATACTGGAATACTCATACAAAACCCCAAGCACATGGATGAAGTTGTGAATGGGATGCTGAGATAATCCATAATCCACTTCTCAAACGAGGTTAGTGAAAGTCGAACACCTAACTTCCGAAAAATGCAAGAATAAAAGGGAATACAACACCTTTCAAACTGGTGGAATATCCCCTTTTCCACTGAAATTGAGGAAATACCCCAATTAGAGAAACCCAATATTTCCAGAGAACCAGACAACGGTTCTTCCCCTTGAACAAGCACATATACGTGGGTTAAATATTTTGTTTTGACCCAAGAATAATCTCCCACCAACAACGCTGCCATTAAACTAATGGGAGGAGAAAATGTCTAAGACCCTGAAACGAGACATAATAATACGATAAAAATGAGCAGATAAGTAGCGACGACGAAAAAAAGGAAAAATGGATAACAACGTCTAACTTTTGTAAGAAGGTCCTGAACGAGAGTTGACAGTTCAGATCTAGTAACGAGAGAAAATATGAGAATAATCTATATCTTGTCTCATTAATCCGATTGGGGTAAAAAGCACTTAAATACCTTGGATAGGGTAATCATTCCCTGACTTGCATACCTAGACGTGTTAACAAGAAGAAGCATTAAATGTCCTTGTCCCCCACTACTTCTGCTACAAACTCTAAAAAGTTTCAATTTTAAACAACAGAGGAGAATCCTTGGGAAACCGGTAGGAATTACTAAAGACTCTCTGATACCCATGGTGCTCTGTAAGCCTTGAGGGAAAATGTTATGGGCGACCATACCCCTCTAAAGCCAACCACAATGGGATAGTCTGGTCTGAGTCGTAACTTTTGGGCCGACTACATAGTTCGGTCCCTGGAAGCCTTCTCCTTACCGTATGATTATCCTATACCTTACTGCAGAAGATTTACGTCTCAAGCACATCTAACGATCCTCCACATTTCACACGGAAAGATAACAAGATCATTATTCCTCTCACCTATATTTCATTAATGACGTCATTTTAGGTAACAAGTTTCAAACATAATTTAAAGATGCTCTATTCATTCACATGTTGATTTGATCGTCAGAGGGCTAACCTTGCAGGTACACCCCCATTCCGGTGATCAAAAACTCTCTCCACGACACCTTCACACCTCTATTTTTGATTTCAGAGTGGAACATATTATAAAAAGAATTATTTGATTTTATGTTTTATAAAACAATTATAAAAATTGGATGACCAAATAAATTTTCTCATTTCTAAAAGAAATTTTTAAAATTTAATTACTAAACATTTTTTCTCTTATTCTCTTTTTAAAAGAATTTTTTGCAATAAATTTTTAAAATTAACAATTAAAAGTCATTTAAACAAAAGTTATTTTTTAAAAAGTAATTTCTAAACCTTAATATTTTTTCTTATTTATAATAAAATAATCTATATTCATAAAAACTAATAGAAAATTAATATTTGAAAAGATTAAAGCGGGATGGAATCGTATAAATTTCATTTCCTCTCGTCATTTTCTTTTCAATTTAGGCTTAATGAAAATTTCATTTTATTCTATTATAAAAGGTTTCAAATGATGATATAAGTAGAGTTGTCAAAATAGGCAAAAGCCTATGTATATGTCCATCGGAGCCAAAAAAAAAATTAGGATCTAGACTTTATTTTTTCAACCCATTTACTTTTTAGTTTTTTAGTCCGGTCTAAAAAAACCTTAAAAAATATAGGCCGGTCCGTATGGATCATGGATAGTTCGTCAATTTGAATTTTTTTAAATATATTTAAAAATTATTCTTTTTTAATTTATAAAAAAAATTATAAATATATTTTGAGTCTATGTAATATAAATTATCAATTGATATAAACGGATAATTTTAATGTCTAAAGTGATAAAATTCTAAATATGCTATAAAATTGTAATTGTTATACAATTTTGTAACAGCTCGTTGTTATAATTGTTATAAAATTATAATTGTTATGAATATTTATAATTTAAAATTGATTAAAATAAATTATAATATGTCTATAGTTTAGACGCCTTAACTAAAATTACAACATTTGTCCCAAAAAAAAAAAAAAAAGAAGAAAAGAAATCTAGAAAAAAGAAGTAAAAAAGACAGGAATTACAACACAGTGCCCGCTCCCATTTTCCGGCCACCTCGCTTACCGGAATTAAAAAACACCACATTTCTTCCTCCGCAGCACCAAGGCCCATTCCGGATACCTTCACAATAAAACCCGGAATTTGAATTTGTTGTTTCCGCCGCCGTTATACCGCCGCTCGCAGCTACCGTTGTCGTCCTCTCATCTTTTTCATTGCTCTGGTAAGTTGAAACCCGACACTCACACCTAATTACTTTACCAATTTCATTTCCCCCAAATTCCATCCAACCCTAACTCTATAATTTCAATTTCAATTTTCATTTCTGTATTTCATGAACGCAACTATGTTTCCAGCCATTCTCTTCGATGCCACAGGTTTGAAACTTCGATTTCTGATCCCTGCTTTATATTTACGGTACAAATATTGATAAAAATAATTGAATTATTAATTATACTTATAACTATAATCCCTGAGATAATCTAAACTGGAATATAAGTAGAGTAAATAATTGTTGGACTTGTTTATTTCAGGATGGTTGAATTTTCAATGAGTAATGCTAGATATAATTATGTGCATGATCAGAAATATCCCTCTCAAGATGTTGACATACACCATATAGTTCTCAGGAGGAATGGTGCAAAATATCCTTTTGTCTATGCCTCAGCACTTCTTGTATTAGCATGTGCCATCCATCTGTATGTTTTCGAGGTATGTCTTCAAACAAAATTTCTTTGTCGGTGATACGAGGATTATGAAAATTTTGTGACTTTTCCTCACTTCTTTTTTTCTATTTACAGGAAAAATCGATTAGTCTTGTGTATTACAGCTTGCTTTTTGACATACTTCTTGTCAAGTTGTTACTTCGGAAGCCTGTTAATAAAGGTGAGCACCTGACTCACAGGGTTTGTGAGACTCTGAAAGGTTAATTTATTTTCATTGTTAGTAAACCAGGAAAATAAATCTAAAATGTATGTTTTATTTTTAAAAACTTGGTCATTTTGACAATGTTGTCATTTACTTGCAGAGTCTGTTGTGATTATGCCAGCTTTTGGTGTACAGCTTGAGACTCACTATATGAGGTAAGTTTTTTGTTAATCAGTTGTTTAGTCAACGATCAACATTATGTTAGGACACATGAAAAGCTTAGTCTACAATTATATAACTTGTTTTGTGCTCATCATAACTATTGTCTTTCAAAGAGAAGGCTGGGACATTGGAATGCTGGTGCTAGTACAGGGTTCTTTAGTCAGTTTGTATGATGCAGATTCCCTGCAATCCGGAAAATGTCGTATTCGTTCAGTCTAGATATCCTCCACCATTTGATTCACCCAATGGTCCATATTATTTATTTCTTTTTCGCTTCAGCCTTAAATTACAAAGGAGTCATTCACGCACATTTCATCCAACAGTCTGCATTGCTTGTTTTACTCTCATGCACACACCTTTCCCTCTCCCCGAACATTGAGAGTATAGGAAGAACCTATGCTCCAGAATTTGGGATGGATTTTTCCCTTCACCTCTCCAGTGTTTGTGAAGGCACCAAGGTATTTTCATGTACTGAAGTTGCCGCTGGATACATTGGAATGATTGAGGATTTTTTCCTTTGGGGTTTTATTAGAAAGTAACTTGTGCTTGGATTATAAATTGTGCTATAGGGTTCCAGTGAGATTTAAGATTCAAAACCAAGGCTACAGTAAGATAAATTGTGCTCTCTGCTTTGGGGTTTCAGTGGATAAATTTGCCACCTGAAGCATAAGGATCCTATTTTTACACTTGTAGCTAATACTCTACACTTGTAGCTAATACTCTGTCAGATTTGATATGTTAAATTGAACCGATTTGTTCATTCTCGTCAACTGTATCAGATTTGCTAATGTAAAACTTTATCCTTGTTAAATTGTGTTTGACGATGCTGTTTTCAGCTCAAAACTGAAAACTAAAAATGAGTTGATACAGGCCTTATGAACGAAATGGTGGAAGAGTATTTGACTGAGTGAATGTGAGAGTTCTCTGACTCCAGAGAAACCACATCATTATTTTTTTCATGAAAATGAAAATATCTTCTAAGTTTTGTTTTTAGTTATAAGATCATATCTAACTTTTACGAGCCCATTCAACAAATTATCTTGCTTTTTTTTTTTCATTGTGACCCTTCTAACTCCGGCATGGATTTCCCATATTCCATTCCCTAAAGTACTTATTTTGTTGATTCTTTGTTACAGTGGAAAAGTCATCCGATGCTTTGTTCCCATTGACAAGATTCTAAAACCTGTTTTATTAGAATGTGTGACTCCAGTGACTTGCTACTGGACTCTTTCCTTGATTGTTCGCGAGGAATCAGAAATGGTGTTAGTTTTCAAGGTAAAGTCAAATTTTAGTTTGCACTAGGTTTCATTCTTAAAGTCTTCTTTACTTGGCACTCAAAAACTACTGTTTTTTTTTTTGGTTGGCTAAACATATGTTTTGTAAGTACTAACGAAGAATCGCCAAATTTGTTTTCTAGAAATTGCGACCGCCTGTTAAAATGCTGGTCCATGTCTGGAAGGCTTTGTGTGCTGCAACAGATGATAAAGAAGAGACTTGTATGCATACAGTGTGAGGGATGGATGAGTTCTTAATAGTTATACTCTTGAATTCAAATGATAAAATGATCATTATAACTATACTGGTTCAGGACTCACTGATATGATCTCAAGTTGATAGTTTGGAATAGGACTGCTAGAGCCAGCGCTTCACACTATCATGTCTGAATTGAACCTCTGCTATATGTAATTAAGAAAAATGTAACAAGGCCTTGAAAATTTGCATAGAAAATCAACATAACTATAAAAGTTTAAGAAACAATGTTAAAACAATTCATAGTCTCTTTGCAGTATAATCTTCATTAGAATATATGATATATGATCTATTATTTTTATGTTGTTTTAGAGGGTGTTGGTTGCATCATATCACCGTACTTGCTACACGTTAACCTTAATAAAACGCCTATCAATTTTAACATGTTTGGTTCAGTTATGTTGAACAGGATTTTGTAAAAAACTAATTGATGCCCTGTTATCACAATACAACTTTATTGGAAGTTATATGAAGTTTCAACTCTTCTAGAATTCTTACAACTTTATTGGAAGAATTATCCGAAGTTTCAACTCTTGACTTTTTTGAAGCCATATAATCTCACAAACATCTTGGACCATTGCCATATATTCTTCCTCAACACTACTTTCAACTACATTTTGTGTTTTTTCCTCCCCCAAGTAACTTAAGTTTCCTCAAACAAATGTGCAGTAACCAGAAGTTGACTTCCTATTTGTAATAGAATATGTCCAGTTTACATCACTATACACTTCAATGTCTTGCTAATGTGTTTTCTTAATGAAGAGTCCTTTGTTTGAGGGCACTTTTTAAGGATCTTAAAATGTGGTAGACACTCTCTAAATGTTTCTCATGTGATGATACCAGATAAATAAATTAGCTTAGCTCCTAATCGTTGATACCAGAATATTTGCACTGGATCTCCACTGCCATTACAACTAATCTTTTAATTCAAGTCTACAAGAGTATACCTGCTGGCCTACAACCCATCATTCTAGTTTCCTTGAGCAAAAGTATATTTTTATCGGGACAAAGTAATCTCCTCAGATCTTGCAACTTCCAATTTCCAAAAGAGTATTTTAAGTGATCTGAGATCTTTAATCTCAAACTCATTTGCAAGGGATGCTTTCAAATTACTTATTTCCATGAAATCATCTCTAGTGATTAAAATATCATCTACATAAGTAATCAATATAGCAATTTTACATTTAGAAGAAAGTTTCACAAAACATAGTATGATCACTTTGACACTTTGAGTATCCCTACTTTATAAATTGGGAAAACCTTTCAAATCTTGCGAGGCGACGATTGTTTTAAGCTATAAAAGGACTTTTGTACTTTAAAAACATTTTGATTGAACCGATGTTCAAACACGGGTGAATTCATATGAATCTTCATTTAATTTTTTTTACATCTGGTTGTTGATTCATCTGCCTAACACTTATTTTTTTTGAAAAACCCTCTTCTCATTCGATACAACTTTCCACTTAACAACTCTTTGGAGACATTCTTATAGTGTCAAGATTCTCTTCTATAAGACCCTTTTTTTTTTCCTGAAGTACACAGTCAAAAGATTGGGTACTCATTTTCAGAAAATTCTATTTTATCATTTTCCCCTATATATTATCTAGAAAATTCAAATATTGGACATCATTATCTTACTTTATTTCTCCCATTTGAAGATTATCAATAGAAAAAAAGGTGTTTTTTTGCCAAAGTAGTCTCTATAATAACAAATATTTTCTTGGAAATAGGTTCTAAACATTTGTATCCCTTTTTTGATTAGTGGTGTAGCCAATGAAAATCCATTTTTAGCTCTAGGCTATAGTTTTCCTTGGTTAGGCTCATCTCATGAATATGAACAAGAATATTACATCCTAATATATTTAGGGATAGAGTGTATGAAAGTTTATTATTTGGAAAGAAATTTGTCAAAACATCAAATGAGGATAACAAAACGACATAAAAACAACCAAAACGACAACAATCAAACGGCAGCATACTTAGAAGCTTCAAGATCCGCAGCTTTCTGAAGAAGACTCTGCGAATCATCCTCAAGCACCATCTGAATAGGCGAAGATCCCAATCCATCAGCAATCGCGAGCATGATCTTCTTCATCTCAGATTTAAACTCGTCACGGTCGACAGTGCCACTTCCATCACCGTCAAAAGCGTCGAACACGGAGTCGTAAAGGCGCGTGAGTTGCTCCGGCGGAGTAGATACGTCGATGCCGAAATGTGCCTCGATGAGTCTCATCGATTCGAAGGCTGTGCGAAGCTCGGCGCGTGATAGAACGCCGTCGTTGTTGAGATCGAGAGATGAAAACTGTTCGTTGACGCTGTTGGTGAAACGCTCGTCGTCGGCTATGAAGTTTGTTACGGTGGTGCCGTCTATTATCACCACACCCATCCTTTGAATCTGTGTGAATGAAGATTAATTAATTGTTTAAGATTATTTAGTTGAAGATAAGACTGGACCAATAATTAGAAGCAATTGTTATATGGTGTTTTACAATTGACGCGTGGCATCATTGGTATGATTTTATACCTACGTGTCATCCGTTTCTAAAATCTATGGGCCTCTAGTTTTTGTTTAGATTATTACAATTATAAATATATAAAAATTCAAATATCTAGAATAACCATTTATACCTGATTTCAGAATTAAAAGTCTAATTAAATTTTTGTTTCATTTATATGTACTTCGTAATTAATATTGTGTACGTGTTATTTTTATATTTTTTGATTCTGATTTTTATTTTATTTTATTTTATATTGATTTTAATTTTTAATTAAGTATGAAAGTATCTATTAAACTTCAAAGCAACATATAAAGTCTGGCAAAACCAAAATCATTTACTTAAATAATGGAAAGTCTCACTATTTCTATTTGTCATTAATTTATAACAAATGTTTTATTAATCCTAGCATATATCACAAATTCATTCCACTCTCTTTTGTCTCTATCTGCCTTCAGGTTTTATTCTTTCATCTTCTTTTATAAATATATGTTACAACTATGACCATTATGTGGATTTTTTTCGATTGTCATTATTTTTTTCGATTGTCGTTTTCTCTCTGCTTTTCTTATTTTGGTTATATGATGCTTATTTATTTGATATTGTTGAATGTATAACTAACATCATGATTTTCGCGTGATTGTTTCAGCTTTGAGAACACTTTATGGCTCGTCCTATGAAGCTGTAAAGGATATCAATGACTCAATGGATTTATGAAAGATAATTGTTCGATGTAAACATCTGTGGTCTATGACAAGTACCTCTAACAAAGAGCTTATTGAGATGGTTTTAGTTGATTCAAACGTATGAGAAATGGGTCATATTGGTTTGTTACCTTTACAACGTGTTTGTTTGTAATGTAAATGCTTTGTACTTCATTTTTGTTAGCGTGATATGATTCAAATGATTGTCCTACCGCATTTGGTTTTGAAGTTTAACGCTGAACTTGCTGTTGGAAGTGCTTACATCATGTAGAATTTTAAGATTTCCAATAATAATTTCTCAACCAAAGCTCATTTTTAAGGAAATGAAATTCTCTACAACTTTGTCTCTCTAAGCTCAAGGCCAAAAATGTTTCATTTGAGAGATATGGGCCAAAATATTACAAGTTATTTTAAAAGTCCACAAAAGATACTTTTTGTCAAAGCAATTTACATCAAGTTAAAATATTCAAATTAAAAAATAACCAACATAGAGATTGTAGGGGATATTTTGAGGTTTCCAAAAAGTCCAATATCACCTTTATATGACAAAAATTGAGAGAGTTATGATTGGTACAAGTTGGTCAACTTTGAAAAAATACATGAAATCCAATTTGAGCAAACTTGAATTTTTTGACTAATGAGTTTATCTTTTAAAGTCCAAACGTGTTCTTGACCTCATAATAGACCTCAAAGTCCATTCATGCATCATTTTAATTTTTATTTCATTTATTTGATTTTGATTCATTTAAACTTAAAATTAAATTAAATAAATTTAAATAAATGTATAAGGCATAAAAGACTTTTGATTTAAATTTTTTTGGAGGCCCAAAAACATGCTATAAGCCGTGTGGAATTATTTGTGAAACAAATCTTAATGGTTTGCAAGATTTTAATCTATTTTCAAACAAAATCAAAAGATTGTTTTACATGATGTCCAAGCCTATCTCTTAACCTAATCTCTTCTCCTATATATACTCATCATATTCAGACAAGAGGACACAAAAATTGATCAAGAAATAAGGGTTGGAGATTGAAATTCGCAAGAAAAAAGTTGAAATCAAAATCCATCATTCAGTCATCCTAAGTTGGAATCATTCTTGATGATCAAAGACGCCTAAAACATGCATATGATGCATCGCCGATTTTGCATATTTGTTTAAATTTGTATTTTTATTTTTGCGATGCTTTGATTGAAACTAACAATTTTAACGTGTTCCTGAGGTAAAATAACACAGGTCTGATCTCTTGCATGAAGTCCATGACGCCGGAATGGTCTATCACCATTATTGAACTGATTTGAAGTATTTTGATCGTATCTCTTTGTACAGGACAAATTGGCTAAAACTAACACCACCATTGAATTCACAAGAGTCGATTTAAGGGGATAAGGTCCTTCTTGATCTCTAACGTTTGTTCTTTTTGCAGATCAAAAAATCACTTCACGGGAGAAAACGACCGGAGCTAGGGCTCCGGCGCCTCTCCGATCCACCTGTTTTATATTATATTTACTTGTTTGTATTGTATAACCGGATGAGAGCGTAGCACCGCTGGTCAATACGAAGGCGTATAACGTTAAGGGTGTGGATTCGATCCCTCATCTGCAATGTTTTTTTTTTGTTATTTTCCAAATTAATGCAGGTTTTATATATTATCATCCAGTCCTGTTACCAGACACCAACAGACGCTTGGCCTGGTGGCAAGCGATGCGGCGTGAAAACTAGAGAGCGTAGATTTAACACCCACCCCATACAAATTCTTTTTCCTATTTTTTTAAATCTAATTTC